AGAATCCCAAGGTGTCCCCCAGGGTCACTCTGTGAGGGATGGGGACCCCCGAGCAGGGGCTGTCGAGGAACGCGTTGAGGTTTGCAAGGAGGGGCAGCACAGTGGGGACAGGGCAGGGGCCGGACAGCGAGGGGGCCTCTGCTCTACCTGCTGTGTACTGGGGGGAGGGCAGGACCCGGGGTATCCCGCGGTGACACCTTTGCAGCTCGGATCTTGTTGGGCCTCGGGTTGCTGCCGGTCAGAGCTGTCCCGCAGCCCCAGGTCCCTGAATCATGCAGTTCTCGTCCAGCTTGCTTTCTCCCATCGGCTTCCCTCCAGCCCTTGCTGCTTCCTGGCTGGCCTACGGGCCCCCCAGGGATCGGGGGGCTTCTGCCGTTGGCAGGGGCTTGCTCTGGGCCCTATTGCTTGGCAGAGCCCTCCCACCCATGATCACTCTGGGTTTGCTGGCGTCTTGCATGCTGGTCTGCTGTCCTCGGTTATTTTTGCTCTTGTCGCATCGCTCCTGAAGCGGCCGTTCACCCTGGTGGTAGGTGTTGGGGGGGGGACGACACCCCCTCCGCATGTGGGGAAGTCCAGGATGGGGAGGCCGAGCAGCCCCTCGTGCCCCTGCAGCCGTGTGTGTCGGCTCCCTGCTCCGCAGCCCTGCGTGGCCGGCAGCCCCTCTCCTCCCGCTGCAGATCGCCTTCTTCACGCTGCTGTCGGTGCTGGGCGTCATGCTGAGCCTGGCTGGCTCCATCCTGTCCTGCCAGAACGCGCAGCTGGTGAAGTCCCTGGAGGCCTGCGAGAGGGTGAGGCTGAGCGGGGGCAGCCCCGGAGCCCCCCGGGCCTCCGCGCTCAGCTCGTCCCTTGCTGCAGGGCTTGGGGACAGGGGGAGCTGCAGAGCCGGGGTCTGGCGGCGGGACGTGCCGGTGGCTCTCGCGGGAGGTCCCTCATGGTGTTCCTTGTCACCAGGAGAGGGACTCGTGTGTCTGCTGCCAGGCCCGCTCGGAGCCCCCGCCCGCCTCCTGCAGCCAACAGAGCGAGATGCTGACCATGTTCCCCAACCCCAACTGCCGAAGCATCCGCGTGGCACTCAAGGTGGGGGTCCAGGGGGGGACAAGGGGAGCGGCTGTGCACCCCACCGTGCTCTGTGGCCTCTGCAGCTCACCCCACTGCTCCCCAGGACCTCCTCTTCAGCGTCTGCGGCTTGACCGTCTTCTCCACCGTCATCTGCACACTCTCTGCTGTCGTCTGCTGCATCCGCATCTTCTCCCTCGACATCGTCCATGTGGTGAGTCCATGTGGCCTGGGAACAGACGGGGCTGGGGAGCAGTGCTCCCAGGCTGGGGGGAACCCGGAGTGCCAGGACAGGACTTGGCCCCATTCGTGTGCAGATTAAAGCCCAGAGTGTGCATCCCTTGCTGGATCCCTGGGCAGGGGAGTTCCAGCTCTCCCTTCTCCCTGCAGCTGGTC